TGTTTGTTGAATTCCCACAAGTGCATGCAGTACATCAATTGATATAGTTCATGTTTTGAAAGCTGTTGGCATTTTGACTAGTGTACACTTGAACTAAGCAACAATTTTAGTGGTCACTCACTTTTTGAGTGCTAAGGTGTCCCCTGAATGGAACGTAAGGTGATTCCTTAGTAAAAGAAGCTAACATAGATTGTAGATGAAATTTGGTCCACTGATGTAACAAGTCAAGAAGATGATAAAAAAGTAATGAAAAGTATGGGTCATCGTGCTCGTTTTGACGTCACAATGCTGACAAATACGGCTATTTAGGACCCTTTGTTAAAAACCACGCGCAGCCCAAAGGTAGACAAAAAGAAGAGATTTTTTTTCGATGATGCATGTGGTATCGCACAGAATTTGACTTTAATGTATTGTTTATTCACTTACGTACCTGAAAAATGCTTTTTAATGCCCTTGTTTTTACTTTAGGCACCAAAGTAGATTTAAATTGGACACGCGCTATTCGACCCGTGATAGCTTAACCCGTACAACTTAGTAAAATTGCCAAAAAACTGAACAGAGATTTGTGCCAATTTTTTTCTCATCGAAAGGAAGCACTGTCCTTATCAAAATCATGAAATAAAAAATGGGGGTCACCGTACTCGCTTTTGCCGTAGCGCAGCAGAAAGTGCGCACCACACGCATTTCTCCGATTTTTGAGAGAGCACTGGAGCGAGATTCAAAATGGCATGTGTGTGAAAGGGCAAAGAAAGTAATAAAAAATCCGTTTTTACAGAATTTACATCGAGATATCACAAGACACAATGTGATAAAGAAAGCGTTTAAATGAAAATCAAAGTGAGTAAGTACAAGTTTAACACCCACTCGGCGAGGTTCTCCATGAGGTCCATGAGCAAGTCAAACTCAGCAACACGCGTGCTGCTTACGTTATGCACATTCCCAACACACTGAGTCTCACTTCGGCAAGAAAAACCACAAGCGAAAATTCTAATAGCGTTTCTCTTCAGGCAACGTCATTTTAATAATGTTACTTCAGACTCTCTCTTTTGCGGTGGCCATCTTGTTATGTGCAGTAAGAGATGAACAGTGCAAACCCAGTGAATCACCTTAAACCCAGGTTTCCGGACCCAGAAAAGGTTATCCCTTTCCCCTGAATAGAGGTGTCCCTTCAACAGAGGTAACAAATATAAAGATTATGTGAACATTTTTCCAGGACCAAATTTTGTGTGCTCTGAATGGAGGTGTCCCTTGAATAGAAGTGTTCCACTGTAATGAAATATTTAATAGAAGCACCAAGTCTTTGTATATAAATGAAACAAATATATCAGGGCCCGGTTCCTTGAAATATGGTTTAGTTTAACCCAGAATTAAGCAAAATTTAAAGCACGGTTTTCACGTCTAAGAACATGCAACTCGAGGTTTCAAAATACTGTTGAGCCTTTACTACGAGATACAGTAATGATAACACAAAATGTTACCCTGAGCAATGCATAGGAATGTCAAGTACAAAAACAGAACAATATTTTAATCCTGGATTAACACTAATCAGCCTTTCAGGAACCGGACCTAGGAGACAAGTTTAATGAAAGGTGTTTATACTTTCACTCATTTTGGAAGATTACAGAAAGCGTTTTACCATAACAGTGTTAAACAAAATTTGAAGCAGAAATTTGTTTGTAGCAATGCTTTTTATGGAGACATACTGAAGGTCACACATCCTGTTTCCTCAGAAGGGAGATGTGACAGGTTTTTGACATTCATCATAAAAGGAAAATGCCTCTGGATGGGGAGTTTTGCTATATTTGTTGAAAATATTATCCTCACACAACCTCGGGGAAATTGAGCCAAATTTTTACTGTTTGATCAGACTCCACCCTTTTCCCACACTTCCCCCATGGGGTTTACAAATATACATTGACAGGTGTATAACGATAAATATTAATACAGATCTTATCAAGTTAATAACCTGTATGTTCTGCTTTCTTGAAAGTAATGTTAACATAATACTGACTTTCCCTTTTCGTTGTGTCTCTCCAGTTAAGTAAGAGATAAAGGTGAAAGTGACTGGTTATCAGTCTCTCAATATTTCAAATGGTGTGATGTCTCAACCCCCTCACCCCCCCCCACCCCCCCCCCCCCCTCCCAACGAGAATATTGTTCAAAATAAACAACAATACAAAGGAAGATAAAGATAGACTGTGGAACTCAGAGTGAATGTTTTAGAATAATTGTTATGATACGAATTGTACAGTTATCGTAGTGCTTCAAGAGAAACTGAAAAGTTAGCCTGGGTAGCATTCCACTTGAAAAAAAGTGTCTTGAAAAAGAAAAAGAAAAAAAGAAAAGAAAGAAAGCAGCGGCTCATATTATAAATTTAAACAATATTCAAGAACAAACCTAGTGAAATTAAAAGTTCCTGTCAACTTTCAGGACAACAGCTCTCGTATAGGGGCAATTGTTTGAAATTATAATGTACGCGAAGAAACTAAAGTTCAAATGGTCGCATTCACATTGAGCCTGGTTGTAGCCTTGAATACCAATATTAGGGTTTCGCGGTGGGTTTATTAGTAGGGGGTTGTGTTGGAAGCTTGTAGGGTAGTTCCGAGTACGATACAGTCGCACACGCGTTTGTACGCTCCGTGCGTACACGCACGATAAGTGTACTACCCGGCCATGCTAATGCAGATGTAGAAGGCGTGGTTACATTCACGGCAGCAGTCAAAAGTCTGTTTGCAAACATACTTCTTGGATGGCGGTGAAGGGTGGAGGCGGCATCAAGACACAACACCGGGAAACTTTCGTAGCTTAGGTAGTTGTCTTCTTCCTGGAATTAAAAAGAGAAAAACAAAACAAAAAACAACAACAACAACAACGTAAATTTTACACCAGAAAATGTCATTTCAATCTGTTAAAAAAATAATTATTATTATTATACTGTCGATCCTTCACCGTCGACGACCCCAGAAATAAAAGGTCGCTATCGACGAAAGTTGTCTGCCAACGACTTGAGCCACAGTGGTTTCGTATCCATCTACATTTTGAAATAAAAATTATTGAATTAATTCTTGAAATTAATTATTCAATTAAGAACATTGAGTTTAATTGCTTGCTGTGCAGTAAATACAACGAACATAGAGATGAAGCCATTTCTTAAGTTGTCGCCTACAGGAGGGTAAAAACCAGCAATGGAAAATTGCAAAGTCGTCATCCAAAAAAGGTGGTCGCAATCGCTGAAAGGTGGTGCTGGATATACATTGTACCCAAGTGCATGTTTAAGGGAAAAAAAAAGGCCAGAGACGCCATCAGAATTATGGAATAATAAAAGATAAAAGAAAGACAGAAAGAAAATCATCCCGATTAATTGATGCAAAAAGGCTTTTTCAGGAAATAAAAAGTGTATCATTTTTCCATATTTCAGCTGTACTTGTACGCACGGGTGTATGTGCGTATATTGACGGTACGCTCCTGCTGATATTATTTAAGCGTTATGAAGTTTCGACTGTTGAAATTCATTTAGATTCGGCCGACAATTTTTCCGCCAAAAAAAACGGAAGTAAGGCTTCATTCAAAAATGACTAAAGAAAGTGGCAGGAAACTCTGACGAGTTGTAAAGTTGTAAAATCAACATTTATGGTACGAGCATAATTCTATAGGCGTGGCTACAGCCCACCTTACGCGTTCGATTCTGTCATCTTGTTCTTGGGGAGGCTTGAACGATTTCAAACCTGAGTTTCGTTGGTGGTGATCTCTAAGCGAACACTATCCACAATAGAGTATGGTATGTATGACGCAAGTGGTATACGAATTTAGTTTACATGATGTTGACCGTGAACGGTGGTCCATTTTTCCTGACAGCTAAGCGCGGTGAGCTTAAAGGTACAAAAAAGGAGGAGAGATTGTTGCTCTTCCTCGTTTCTCGGGGGTTCGGCGCTCGCCCCTCGCGCGTGCTCGCGTTATTAAGTGTCTCAAAGGAAAAGCAATAGACTAGACTGCTCGCAATCGAATCTCGATGACGCCTTTTCGGTGATCGCAATCTGAACAGAATCATAATAAAGACGAGACGGTAAGAAACTGGTTGTTTGAATATCATCGAGTATAAAATCTTTCAAGTGATTACTAATAAGCTGATTAAAAGAACGATACGTTTGTACTGAACTTTTCTGATTGTACACTAAACGTCGCTTTTAATTTCAGAGTGACCATGAAGGCGAGCTGGAAACATAGTCAAGAATGACACATACACCTACCGTCGATGACGACTTCTCTTCTTCTCTGTCTTCTTTTTTTTTTCTATTGTTCAAATCGAATGAAGACGAAAATTTAGGAAAAGCGACCCAATTACTACGAACATGCGGTGGGCGTAAGCTGTAGACCCGCGGAAATTGGGAAAGCGCAAAAACACAAACAACTGGGGCGAGGAGGGGCGACGCGAGCCTTTCTCTTTCTCGTCTTCCCCAATCTTTTGCGCCTTCCCCACCATCTGAGAGCCTGGAACAGGCTAGTAGATCGACAGACGACACATCGACCTAAAGGAGGAGCCAAAGGCTATGTACAAAGAGTTTCGTCTGGTAAAAGGTTCTATTCTGGACGGCTTGGGTGAGAATAAGAACGAAAGTCGTTTATTATCTTAGAAAAAGGTATGGATTACATTCAAAGATCGCACCTTTGAATGTAGGACGCGCAAATAATAAGCTTGTTTTAATAACAGTTTAAGAACGTTCTCTGTAAAGTATTTCTGAAATCATATTTTTTTTGTTCAGAGCGCTAAGTATGAAAGCACGATCCGATCAAAAGCATCGCGTCAAGGCAAAAAACCTCTCTCCTCCCCCCCAGTATTACAAATTTGTCGCGCCGAGGATTAAACGATCATGCGCAGACTGTTCGGTCTTTTTTCGGAAGCATCACCTAGGACAAAAGGCTATTGTTTTGGTGAATTGGACCCGATACAATTTCTTGATACGTGTAGGTATGACATTGGAGGGTGGATCGGGTTGCACTGAATGGGTATTTTAGGAAATCGGACCTCATTTGTTGACACTTCGCTTCGAAAACAAAGAGAAGAGGAGGAAGGTTACAAAATGCGGTCCAAACATTTTCTGATTCTTGCTCTCTTGTTTTCGTCGTTTTCGTTGTTTGTGCTCCAAGTTATTGCCTTTCCGCCACATGTTTTGCTGATAGTCTTAGACGATTTAGGGTGGAGTGATGTTAGGTTTCATGGCTCACAAATCAACACTCCAAACATGGATAAATTTGCTTCTGAAGGCGTAATACTGGATAATTACTATGTACAACCAATTTGCTCTCCAACCAGAGGTGCTCTCCTTACCGGAATGTACCCTATACATACAGGTAAAAATGCTTTGTGAAATTATTTAGCATTTTATACTTGCACTACTTAAACTGAATAGCTTGTCGTAGTCAGTAATGCCATCGCTCGTCTCTCGCGATGTTTTCCAAAGTTTCAATCTCACCGTTGAATTCATTTCTCTGGTTTACGGATAATTTCTTTGCCACCAGGGGTATTTACAAGTGATGTATCTTGGTGTCTCAGGGTAATTTGTTCAAAGATAGAAGACACAACTACTTATTTCGCCATCATTCTAAACTACCTTTTATGGCTTTAACTCTCTCCTCCGCAGAGTCTCCCGCTGCGTAATAGTATCCTGGCCAATAAAAATAGCAAGAATCGAAAACTAGAAAGAGCTGGACGTGACGATCTCTGTTTCTTTCTCCCCAACCTCCCTACAACACAAAGAAGCGTGGAGGAGAGAGATGCTCAAATATCGCCTTAAAAGCAGACCATTAGTTTTTAGAATTCAATCGATGTTTTAGCTTTTTTAGAAAAAGATAGTAAATAGCGTGACACAGCCGGCCGGAAACATTTGTATGATGGGTTATCTCCAACAATCATTTTCCGCCAGGCTCCTTCCGCTGTGGACAAAATTGTGCCACTTGTCCATATATTACTAACTAGCCTGTTCCAGGCGTTTAGATAGTAGAACGCGGGAAAAAAAAACGAGGGGCGACTAGAGGGGGAAAGGGGGAGAGAACTCCCTCGCTCTCGCCCCCCTCCCGTTCCACTCCCCCCCCCGTTTTCCCGGTGTACAACTTAACTCGCTCCCTATTTACCGCCGCGCTCTACTATCTGAACGCCTGGAACAGACTAATTACTAACGGCCTCACACGTTATACCTTTTACGCTACAGGTGAAACACGCTCAACCACTTCACACATTACTTCTAACACTAAAAACGTGATCTACATGGTTCAATGTAACCGTTGTAATTTACAATATATAGGTGAAACTAAGCGACGTCTCAAGAACAGATTTAACGAACACAGACGTGCAGTCGACAAAACTAACATTAAATCTAAACCCACTACTGTTTCTAAACACTTTCTCTGTCACTCTAACCCCCCGGGGGGGGGGGCACTTGGGTATTTTTTGGGTGGGTATGTGCCGCCCGGGCCGGGACTCCAAATTGGCACCCCGTTATAAAAAAAATTTCCCCTAAAATTGATACCCCGTTCTAGAATTCGCCCTAAAACTGATACCCAGTTCTAGAAATGGGCCAATTTTTTATACTCCGTTCTAAGGTGCAAAGAGTACAACAGTTTGCTTGTTAACGCATTGAACCGTATTTTTAAAAGAAATCTGTCCTTAAATAATTTCAAATGGCTGCTTACAAAACTGGAGCTTTCGTGCGTTCGAAATATTATACCCCGTTCTAGAAAACGCCTCTGAAATTGATACCCCGTTCTAAATTCTAAATCAGGAGCTTCAAAATCACGACCCCGTTGGGCGGCACATACCCGTATAGGTAATGTATGGGAGTACCCCCCCCCCCGGGCTCTAACCATTCTCATGCTGACATGCAGTTAATCCCACTAGAGAAAATTCATTCTTCACGTGACTCAGTTCGTAAGGCCAGGGAGTCGCATTTGATAGATAAGGCCATAACCCTTGAAACTCATGGCCTAAACCGCCGTTACGAATTATTGTAATCCATCTCTTTAGTATTTTTCCTTTCCAGTTTTTGTGTTGTACGTTATTTCCGCCTCTCCCTTTTAAACAATTTTTATTGCGACATTCTCCATTTATATAATGTTGTGATTGCTACACAAGTTCAGTAACATCTGTAAACCTGAAGAAGGCTGGTATGGCCAGCCGAAATATTGTTATTAAAAAAAATACATGTTGTCTTAAATCAGCCTGGCAGTAGTCTTTGGACTTCTCGTTCTTGGTTCTGCATGATGGGTGCCAGAAACTCTACATGCGCAGTCTCTGGTTTGACTTACGCGGACGTGACTTCCTCGGATTCCACTTCCTCACGTCCTTCATGTTCAGAGACAAAAAAAAAATAACATGAATCAACAAAAAAATAACTACTACGTCTTAGTCCACCGAAACGCGCAACAGATTTTGGCGTTACAATTTAAGAAAATTAAATAATTTTCAGGAGCCCATGACCATGTATTTTTGTAAAAAAATAACATTAATCTCCAAAACTAAACATAATTGCACATTTTGTTACTAAGCGGATTAGCCTGCGAGTAAAGGTCAGGGGCACCCAACGAGGATATAGTTCAAAACCACTTAACATAGCATTGTTGAACTTATTTTAGTATTTAAACGGTAGACATAGGCATATTTTAATCCCCTAAAAACTTTTCATCTGTTCGGATTTCCTAGCTGAAAGTCTAGTGATCCGAAAATTATAGGGATCAAAACACACCTTTTCGAAAATTTCAGCCGGGAAAAAGCTCCCGAAAATTCTAGGTGGCCTTTTTTAGGGTAAAAATTCGTTAAAAATGGGTAATTATACCATTTTGTAGATGTTCGAAAATCCTAGGAGAGGCAGGCAAGCAAGAAATTTTCCAACAAATGTTCCGAAAATTATAGATCTCAAATCGTCTTCCGAACAGATATTTTCCGAAAATTGCCGTTGGGTGCCCCTGAAAGGTTTCTCTCCTGCATGGCTTTTCGCGACTAGCAAGCAAAACAACGACTTCGTAAACACGTGCAAGAGAGAAACCTCTGCTCACGGGATAATTATAGCCATATCCTGCTGGCATATTTTGTGGCAATTGTTTTTGCTGTTCACGTCCTAACAGGAACGTGATTTTGCCATAATCATCAGAGCTATATATAAAGTATTTTCCTTAGTTCTATCTTGTTATTCTCCTAGCTTGATGAAAGTCTGTGTTATTAAATAAAACCGGTTCGAGAAATATAACAAGTAACGACGGTTTCTCGCTTTGTGCGCTGCCCACTAGTCTTCTTTGAAAATAAAAAAAGTAAATAAAAAATTTTAACAAAATTTTAGAGTTCCGTTGGGTCCAGAGAACAAAATGTCCAATATCCAGCCTTCTTGACCTGACGCTTGATCATTAGCCTTTTAACACTGTTTTAAAACGAATATATTGATTGATTGTAATATTAGGTTTCCAGCATGGAGTTATTCGCCCTACGGAGCCATATGGACTTCCACTTAACATCCCCATCTTACCGCAGAAACTCAAAGAAGCAGGTATGGACAAACTGACCACAACAGCCTTTAATTGTGCTAGCAAGTTCCATTTGCTCCCAAATGCTTGACGTACTCAATCAGTGTAAATCAAAAATCGATATCTAGACTGCGTTCAGTTCCTTCTTGTTTTTTTTAGTCGCAGTAGACGGACAGCACGAGTGAGAAGTAGAATAGTCGTTTTTCCTCTCTCTCCGTCCAAATCTCCCCTAATTTTAATCATTTGTAATTGCCCTTATGTTACTTTTTCGCTCGCCCCTGGTTCTGAGGAAAGAAGGACTTCCGCTCGCGGTCTAATCAATATCAATGGTATTGCAAGTTAATCAGTTATTGAACTGAGTGAAGTGCTATTTGGTCCGTATCTGATCGGACGGGCGCGCAGCGTGATTATAGCGGAGCTCCTTGCGCGCGCGAGCGGGGCACCATAACTTAGATAATTTGGTAAACTATCCATCCGAGAAATTTTGGTTATGACGTCCGTCCGTACGGACTTTCCGGGTAGTGGAAAGTAGTGCGCATGGACTCTTAGGGTAGGGGAAAGTACTAGTAGAGACTTTTTGGAGGGAAATCGCATGGCGCAACGTCGCGCAATTATATCGCGCAACTGGTTTTGAAAAAAGAAATTTCAAAGCAACTTTAATAGCAAAAAGATTTTTCGACAGAGTCTTTATAACTTTTTATTACAACTTACGAAAGCTATTATGTCAACAAACAACAGCAGAGAGATTTTAGCGTGTAGACGACAGGTTTTAAGCAGAGAGCAAAGAGAAGGTGAACGGCAGAGAGCAAGAGTCAACACGCGTAGAGCAAGCGAAGACGATCGCCAAAGAGAGAGCGCTAGAAGTAGAAAAAGAAGACAAAATTTTAGTGAAGAAAGTCGGCAAGTAGAAAGAGTCAGGGCGAGAAGAAGGAGACAAAATTATAGTGAAAAACGCCGGCAAGCAGACTGGAGACAGAGCTAGCATGGCTAGAATGAATAGAAAAAGGCAACCCGAAAGCGAAATACAAAGGCAAAGAGAACGGCAGCAAAATAATGACATGATGACAAAAAGTGTCGTGTTAATGTCTCTATGGCCCCGCGCTATTAACATTTCGATTTCAAACTGATCTCGGACGCGAAAATTCAGCCAGTCATTTAAAAATACAAGCAGGGAAGACAGAGGCTTTTCACTTTTCTCACCATAGTCACGCGTTGATCACGTTCTACCACCGTCCAATTTTTATGCTCTGATTGGTCAAAACGTGACAGGTGAGTTCATGCAGAAAATTTATACAGCATCTTGAAACTTGTTTACTTTGACAGCTGAAGCTAACAGTGTTTTTTATCAACTTGTGATGCTTTTCACTGTCTTTTTCCACTGGATGCATAAAATGAAATACGGCTGCTATCAACAGTCTTCTGTTATTCATGGCTGGTTTGTTTATCGAATTTTTGGTTGAGATATGCGCCGCTTGTCAAAGTTGGAAATCCGATGACTTCGGATGACTTTGTTTTCGTTTTTCATCTTGCTGGATGAGGGTTGAAAAGTCCCTCAAGCGATTCTGGCCTTACTCGATAGCTTTCAGGAGCTGCATCTCGAATGGTAAGCCTGAGTTATTACTGTATAGAGTGTATGTGTTTGTTTTTTTATATCTAATTTCATGAAGTCGAGCGCAGTTTATGAGGCTAGTTTATGCACGTTTGTAGTATAAAGATCTGAGACAATAGGGCCATTCATACGAGGAAAAATAAGACGCGTCTTACATAAGACGTGGCCTGCGTAGCAAGCGTTTCCGTGCTGTTTCCGAGCAAGGAGCCGAGAATCTCGTTCCTCGGTCTTTCTTTGCTCCGAAACAGCACGGAAACGCTTGCTACGCAGGCTACATAAGACGCGTCTTAAATAAGACGCGAACTCTACCATTTATGCGAGCATGTCTTATCTAATAAGACGCGTCTTAGCTAAGCCGCGTGTTATTTTAGACGAAATGTGCCGTTTATACGGAAAGTTCGCGTCTTATTTAAGACGCGTCTTATGTAAGACGCGTCCCCGGGGGGGGGGGGTACTCCCTAATATGGGCTAGATAGGTATGTGCGGCCCCAAAGGGTAGGGTTTTTCAGCCGTTTTGGTCATAAATTGGGTATCGATTTTGGCTATTTTGCCGCCATTTTGGTCATAAATAAGGTAACGATTTTTGCACTGTAGTCTTGAATGCACTTTTTTAGAAGAAGCTACTTCCTTATCATGTCCCCCTCCTTCCATCCGCGCTTTGCCTTCCTCTCCACCGGCTTCTTTGTAGGCTAGAAAATACAAGCAACAAAGGCCCTTCACAAAATAGGGTATCAAATTTTTGGTTAGGTCATAAATAGGGTAGGGAAAATCGCAGATTTTGGTCATAAATAGGGTAAGGGTTTTGGGAAGCGGACCGCACACCCCTACCCAATTTTTCTACGAGTACCCCCCGGGCACGCGTCTTACTTTTCCTCGTATAAATGGCCCTACTGATCCGATCTAGTATAAGGTTTGATATAAGCTTACAGAGCTTTAAAAACCCTTTAGTCAATATTTTCTCTCCGCAAATAGAAAGAAAAAACGTTCCGAAGAGTATTTAGTTATAATTTTGGCTGTAGAAAGAAAGCTTTGAGTGATTTTCTTGCCCCGAGTTCATCTTTAAAAACAGTAAACACCAGGAAGCCGGCTAAAAGCTTTAAGCTTAAGCTTAAAGACTCAGGATTTTTAGAGATGCTTTAATACTTGTCGTCGTGAATGAAAATTGTTGTCTCTGTAAATGTTTCACCGAATTACATTTCTTTTATTGATTGTTAGTAGCGGCTCTTGCAATTTAAATCGCTTTGCCATTTGTTTTCAGTCGTTCATAAACATCGCTTGCAGGAGTACTCAAAATTCCGCGCGTATCAAACGCTTTTTAAGGCTTATACATCCTTAAAAAACCCTTTAAAAAAAATAAACACAATAAATTATTCATTATGTTAACCCATTCGCCCCTGAACCGCCCGTAACCGCCCGTGCGGATCCAGGTCCTTTCTACCCTTTGTGACGTCATCAGTTTTAACGGTCAAGGACAACTTTCTTCGCTAACTTGTGCAGAGTGAAGAGATCTTTCAAACCATACAAGAATGAGCACAATTCAGTCAAGGACACCGGAGAAAGAAGCAAAAAACCACGTGACAAGGACCTGAAAATCTCCATGAAAATCTTCTTCCATTACCCACCTACCTTTCCTTTCACCTAATCCTAAGATCCTAAAAGCTTTCCTAAAAACTCTTCCCACCAAAATGAAGCCTACTAAATGCCCAGCAAGAGAAAAAAAAAATGAGGCAAGTAAAGCGAAAAAAGAAGGGAGGAGAGAAAGCGAAAAGTAAAAGTCAAGACAGCTGTGTCACTTTTAAACCCAAAAAGTTTGCTTTCTGCGCATGCCCGAACTTCCCAAGCTGATATTTTGCATCTGGATCAGAAGGCCGCCAAGTGTACGACCTGTAAACCGGTTTGTGGTAAGTTTTAGCTCTTTATAGCACGACAGTGACCAGAAAACCACTCGACTAGCTTCAAAAGGCGTTTTTCGGCAAAATCTCCAGGAGCGAATGGGTTAAAGCTTAACTCTTTTAATGTTCACTGAAAATTTGGCGCTTGTCAAAAATGAGAACTGGCTGGCCGTATAGGTGATTTTGGAAATTTTTTTGACGGTTTTGCTAAAAGCCCACGCGTGCTTCATACGGTTCTGAATATTGAATAAGTGCAATTTGGCTTGAAAAATTGTGAAATACTGCATTTTGTCTGAGGTCTGTATAATAAAAACAGTGCCTCATATTACTGTTTCACCTCAGATGTGACGTATAAAAAGTATGCAATGTTGGTTTACACGCGCCCAGAGTTGTTGGCAAGATTTTGTTAAGTAAACTTGTCGAACGCAAAAAATTCGGCCTGATTTGTTTTCCAAGAATTCGTTTTCCAGGCCTAATCAACTGTGATCAAGAGACATTATGGCTCTGAAATGTGATCGAAGATGATTGCCATTATTTGGGTGTATATATACGGCTATCAATGTAAGACTTTTTTTCACTCTAAAATCACTTAGCCTTAGCTTTCCCAAAAAAGTTACATATGTGCCCTTAAGTTAACTGATTTGTGGATTACAAGTTTATTGTTTGATTTAAATTATAAATTTATTAATGGGAGCTTCGCCTTTAGCCCTGGCTAAATCTATATATTAACGCTTGTATGTATCCGTATGTCCGTATGTTACCCGTATGTTACTCGGATCAGAGATCTTGACTAAAACGCCACACGGTTACATGCGGGTAGCATGCGAATATAAGGAAAAAATTGTTTTGGCTACCTGTCGCTAAATGGAATGATTAACTTAGGTTGCATTTTGAGACATTATTAAAAAAATTGTTATAAATACATCTTTGTACGGTTTTAAAGATACATTTCTCACAATTGTTAAAACTGAAGATTGCTTAAAAAGTATGTATATATCCGTATGTTGCTTGTATGTATCCGTATGTAACCCTTAAGTTTCTCGTGTGTATTCACTTAGTAAAAGCGAAGTTAATGTAAAAAACAAATATCGACAAAATATGGCTGTGTAATACTTTTCCGACCCCCGGGAGCCATCTTTACGCATGAACACACAGGCAATTTAATTTAAAGCAGCTGCATTTGATGATGCTTTAAGTCTAAGGAAATTTTCAGTAAGTCACCTCATGAAAGAGAATCCAATACAGTCTTGGATTCTGGATTCTAGTTACTGGCATGGATTCTGGTCTTTGTAGTGGAACTTGAATTCTGGATTTTAATCGTTTTATAGTTGAACTCCGGATTCCTTGAGCTGTATTCCGTATTCCACAATGAAAAATTTCTCAGATTCTGGAATCCGTTTTCCCTTACATGGGAGCCACTAAGAAATATATTTTAAAAGCTCTAAAATGCATCTATTTATATTTCACAACAGGATATTCTACGCATATTGTAGGCAAGTGGCATCTGGGATTCTTTAGCTGGCCATACACTCCACTACACCGTGGCTTCGACTCATTTTATGGCATGTACCTTGGTGCTGGAGATCATTACAGTCACATGAGATCCGGAATTCTTGATCTACATGATAACAAATCGCCTGTAAAAAATAAGGACGGAGTTTATTCTATGAATCTTTTCGCTGAGGTTTGGAATAACACTAGATTCTTATTTATTTATTTATTTATTTATTCTTCGTTTAGTTTATTTCACCCTCCTGATCTTTTGTAGAAGAGACATGAAATAGTTGTTATCGCAAAAAATCCTCTGGTAACAAGACTGTTGAGCCCAAGATATTAACCCTCGGACATACAAGAAGTGGGGATAGATGGCACCCCCCCCTCCCCTCCCATAAGGTTTTTCTGAGTTTTTTCCTTGAGGATAAAACATCAGCACCTGAGGTTTTCAGTAGCTGTTCGTTCATCCCTCGCGCATATTTGGCGACAAGTTTAGTGATGGTAGTTGCTATGGTTACGAGATATGACGTCATACGTAGCAGGTGGTCAAGCCAATTTTGGGTGAAAATACATGTTTTTTCAACTTAATTCAACAATAAAAGTAAATAAAGTGGCTGAAATTATGCAAAGTGCTTATTTATGTGTTATTTTTCATGTAGAGCACAAAAAATTAACATTTGTCGAGGTTTTCACTGACCTGCGAACAGCAGACGCATTTCCGGTCGTCGCTTCTCTCCCTCCGAAAAAAAAAAAGAAAAGAAAAATTTTCGGAGGTAGAGAAGCGACGACCGGAAATGCATCTGCTGTTCGGAGGCTAGGTTTTAACCTGATTCCTAATTCTTAGTAAAATCCAAGATAGCGGCCAGGATGGCTACCATTGTTGGTGACGTCACAGGCCTCCAGCAGCGCCACCACCCATAAAATATACCTCATTTTGTTACGAAAATCAAAGGCTTTCCACTAAAGGTAAAATCGTTTCAAAATACTGCAACATACAAAAAACTTCGGGGAAGAGTTCCATCCACCCTCCCCCCGCCCCTTATACCACGGTGGGGGTATGAATTTGCTTGTACGTCCGAGGGTTAAGGAACTTTAGCAACAACAACGGCAACGACAAAGAGAACCGGTGATATAGCAGGTGTGGATTAGCAAACCAACAACTCTTCACCTGCATCATGCTTTTTTGTACACTTCTTTACCATCACTGCAGGTTTCATAGAAAACGCAAACAAGTGACGACAAAATTTGTCTTTCTGCTTCTTAACTTGAGGGCGGTCCCCAACAAGCAAACTTCTGGGAAATTCGCCTATATTTCACATTTTCAGCGAACTGTAATAAACGCGACAAAGTCTGAAAAAACGCGAATTCATATCTGAAGTGACGTTTTCGCCGCCCTCCGCGCCGTCGTCCATGCTAAAGCTCCCTATTATTGTTGATTAGTCAGGAGAGGGCAGCATTAAGTAACACGACAAGAAATTAAACAGTTCCAATAAATATGACTCTGGTTTAACAAGCTTCGACCATTATTTTTTTAATTCATTACATATGAATACATATTTTAGCGTGATCTGGCTCCAAGTCAGTAAGTTAAATGTCAATTTCGAGCGCTTTTCATTGCAGCAAGCACAGAGGGTAATCCTATCCCACAATGCCTCGAAACCATTGTTTTTATATCTACCATTTCAAAGCGTCCATGGTCCTCTTCAAGTTCCCAAGGAGTACAAGAAAAATTACCGAAAGATCGCAGATAAAAAGAGAAGGATCTATGCAGGAATGGTTGAAAATGCTGATGAAGCAATAGGAAATATAACACAGACTATGAAGACAGCTGGGTGAGTAGATAATACAAAGAGATCTGGACTTGTCAAATCCTTTTATTTGGCATCAAAATTACATTAAGGCATCCGAAAGACTTTGAAGTCCCCGTACCCTAATAAGCCCCAAGGGACACGGAAGTAAATTCCTGGGGATAAACAAAAGGAAATACGATATTATCCTAGGGGAACCCCTTTTCTTGTCATTTCGTTAATAGGTTGTGTAAATTGCCAAATGGTGTTCTCACTTTGGAAGTCCTCCATTAAAACCAAACATTTTTTTACCCACGCAAGTACAGTTTAGGTTTGTCGTGGAAGAAATCTCCTTTTAAAGTTACCAAACTGTACGTGTTGAACACAGTTTTTGCTGTAAACATTTTTAGCAGAATTTTAATTACTATAGCGCTTATTTGATTGGGTAATACTTGAAAAATAACTTGTTAATGACTAAATCACCGCTTTGTGTCAAACAAATATTTATCCCAAGTATTATATAAAACGTTAAAAACAACAAAAATGAACTTTGAAGAACTGATATGTTAACAAGTTTCCAAAAACCGTAACTGTAATCCGTTCATCTTCTTCAAGAATATCCATCCTTACTCCCTTTTGTATTGCTGTGTTAGTACCTCATTACATGAAATTTTCGCGAATTTCGCGATACAAAAAAAATCGCGAAATTAAAGTGACGCGACGAATCAACCTTTGGCGACGAAAGAGTGTCGAGAACATAACATGACGCAAAAATTAAGTGACTCACATTATGTCCATAATCAAGAAAGAACTAGTTTATTACCACTGAAACGTTAACAAATCACATTTTTAATTTTCTGGTGAATTTTCAGTGTAAACGGATGTTGCGGTCAATTGACTCAAGAACAATAATTCATGCACAACAAATGGCTCTTGTGTACAAAGTAAACATGAACTGCTTGCATTGGTTTTTCCTAATTTTGACGTTATTGTTCCTTTCAATTGATATTAAAAGTCATTTTATTTAATTCAAAGACATGTCAAATAACATTGCCTATGAAATGTAAATTGTTGTACTCAAAAACGCAAATTTAAAGTGATTCAAAATATAAAATTTTCGCAAAATCGCGAAATAAACATGTCGCGAAAATTTCATGTAATAAGGTACCTTCTCATGTTTAACTCAGATTATTAGTTTTGGTTTACTTTCTGTTTAGTTTATGGAACAACACTTTGTTGATTGTGACTACTGATAATGGCGGAACACCTTCTGTTGGTGGTTATAACTGGCCTCTTCGTGGTAAAAAAGGTAGCCTCTGGGAGGGAGGGGTCAGAGGAGTGGGTTTTGTTCATGGAAAAATGCTGCAGAGGACTGGAGTCAGGTGTAAGGAGCTTATTCATGTGACTGACTGGTACCCAACCCTCCTCCATCTTGCAGGTTTGCCCGCATTTATTGTTACAAATGCATTGTACGTTTAGATCGCGTCCCTCCTTCAGTGAAGTGGCCTGTACTCTATAAAGACTTGTTGATTGTTTATTTTAGTAGAAAAACAAAACGCTATTAACTTTTGCTTCTTATTCCTTGTAAGGCATAGAGAAGAATTCTAATAGTTCAGCACTGGATGGCTTCAATATATGGCCCACTATTTCTGAAGGGGTCCCATCAGAAAGATCAGAGATTCTTCACAATATTGACGGAGGTAGTGCGGCAATTCGTGTGGGCGACATGAAACTGTTGTTAAACGTAGGCAATCAGCAATGGTACAAACCACCAGAGTTGTCCTCTGGAAGACGGAAAACGAAAAAGGTATTAACAAGAGAGTACGATGGGATAGAGAGGGAAACGCCTTGCTGAGCCCTTGGGACTGATGGGAATTTCACCAAAAATATTTTTAGACCAATTAAACCCTTGAAATTAATCGGAAGTTGGTTCCTGGAGAGGTCTGCAAACTTTAAAATCAGTGCTTTCAAGAGAAACCTCAACTGTCGCCACTAATAATCCTGCATTGTTTGAGGCAGTCACACGTGGATTTATTGACGTTTCAAACAATAAAATTATATTGAAAAGTCGTCTCAGGAATTAGAATTCTGTTTAATTACAGCTGCTTACAGCTAAGCCAACGCCCTAAGACTCCCTCTGTCACATTATACACTTTTGGTGTTAATTAATCGTTTTTTGGAATTATTGCTGGCGAGCGTTGGCGAGATGGTACGATATTCTTTATTTAGGGGGAAAATCCAAAATTATGTCGGATGGAAGATCGCAAGTATGCGCAGGTGATTGGTTTGTGAATATCCGGAACATACACTAAGATGTTGACGTCACTTAAAATTGAAGTTCTTCAATCCGCATCGTTCACATATTACATACATAAGCAGCTGCGATTGAATGTTTACGTCCATTACCAGCGAACAGCTTAACACGACTTTCTTTAGAACACATTTCCTTTTTTCCCTTAGCGTTGGAATAATAGGTAACTAACTTTTCCAAAACGGCGACACCCAATAAAAACATTGCCGAAAATAGACTTCGCATCCTTTCAAACGTTCTGAGATTATTCCAAATTGCCCATTTACTTGAAGGAAGGAATTGGAGCTGAAGAGGGGTAGTCGGACCGAGTTTAGACAAATAACAGTAAAAATCTATCGCCGGTAACTTAACCCTTGGATCACTGAACGTGTCTCAAAATGCGCGCGAGTGATAAACGAACAGCTACTGAAAACGTCAGGTGCCCTTGTTTTATCTTCTAGGATAAAACTCAGAAAAACCTCAGAAATAGGGGATCCACCCCCCCCCCCTTGTACGTAGGGTTAAAATTTGGTCATTTCACGTTTTCACGTCGAGGTTTGCAGGGGCAGAAAAGAAACTTACCATAAAACGTGGGGCACTTTTACTCACTAAACCCATTGCTTTTTTTATGTTCCCATTGGCAACGTCATAATGCCGTCGTTTCGTATGGGTTTCTAATAAATATTTAGCCAACATCCATATCCGCATGAACTTTTGAATGCCTTGTCTATCGGATGAAGGGAATTTTCCTTTAATGGTTGGTTTTTAGCAATATTTTCCAGTTACTAAAAAAGAACTCATCGTTTCACATTAAACCCGAGTAGTTAAACGATTCACCAGTTCAATTCTTCTACATGGACTAAAATCCGTATTGCATGCAGTCTTGTGTGATTTTGGTAGGAAAAAGAAGAAAGCTCTAGGGTTCCTGATTATAAATGAAAACGGATATCTTAGCAGTTAGGCGCCTGGCTATTTCTTGAATCTTTTTAATGCCCCTTGGCTACTTACTTTAAGACTTTAAGTGTGCTACTCTTTGTATATTGTTTGTTTCTGTATTTTTTTTACAGGACGCTGTTTAAATTAGCTTCATGCTAAACCAGATGTTCCTGTATAAATAAAGAAATTAAAAAATAAACAATAATAATCAATTAATAACGTACTTGTTATTATTTATTAACTTTTTCAAGGCAACAAAAGTGGGATTAGGGACGGGTGATTAGAATAGTTATAAGGGGTGGGGGTGGGTAATTTTCGAGCCGCGTGAATTTTTCCTTTACCATTTCCCTTGTATGAATTTTTTTAAGCCAGTGCATGAATATTTGTTAGGGAGGGTTACTTCGTTTGTATGAATTTTTTCATTTAATTATACCAACTTAGAAAGTAGAAGTTAAAAAAAAATTAAGCAAAGGAAAGCTTTTTTTAAATGACAACGTCTTTGCCATGGCCCTCATTTTGCTATTTACTAGAATGGTATGTTTTAGGGGTGAAATTGAGCTTAGGCCACGCCGGGTTTAATCCTAATTGCCCGACGAGCCTCCCTGCCCACTTAACATGCCGGTCACCCCCTCCCCCGCTCCCCTGCCTGTCCGCACGGGTAATTGGGTATTCCGCACGAGACCAATTGAGTTATCTAATGGATAGAGGTTTTTCCACTGCAAAGCGCTATCCATAATTTAACGAACTGTTGTCATTCATGAATTCTGAACCATACACGAAGTCACCAATACCGTGCTGACGTGTTGATTAACTTAGATATCCACTTTCCTTCTTTTAATCCTACAAAATTAATTATGAATAAACCAACGAGTTGCGATTTGCTGTTTAAGAACTTATCATCCAGTTTAGTTCAATGTTCATTTATATCATGGCAAGACACATTTCTTCACATACATATCTTCTTTAATCTTCTAACAGCCTTCTTTTCTAATCCGCAGAAATCTCGTGTCAAAATTAAAGTTGCCCTTTACAATATCACCGCTGACCCAAATGAGCGTCAAGACCTCAGTAGGAAGCTCCCGGATGTGGTAGAGACGTTACGAAAAAGGGTCAGATATTACAAGAAGGGCGAGATGCCTTCTGGGAAAAAACGCCCTGATCCAAAAGCAATGAAGGTGGCGCGCAAAAACGGGTTCTGGGGCCCATGGATTGACTGAGATCTTAAACCAGTTAAAAAATGAAAGTCTCTTCACGGATAAAATTTATTGCAGGCAGGGGTATATTAGTCTAGGTGATTTCATCGACGTGCAAGATGGCCACAACTATTTTTTCGTGCTCTGAAGTTCATTGTTTGTAAGGAAGATAGTACTGATTTTCATTAGACTTTGTTTTCTTATGTTGCTGTCGATTGGTACGAATAAAGACTATTCAAGTTGACACAGAGAGAATGAATTCGATAGTAGTAGAATCACTCTCCTTTCCGCTTAAACTTATCCCAACCGTTCGTCTAGACAGAGCGTGCGCGAGCGATGTTGGCTTGAGTAAAGGTGGCAACTGTTTCCCCACTTAAAAGACCTGTGAAAAAAGGACTCGGCTAGGAGGGTGTCTCTCTTTCCCGGAATAACGTTTCTTCATAATGAACAGTGTGTGAGGCTGATATCGGGGTCCTAATGCTGTATACAGTCATGGTCCTAATGCTGTATACAAAGCAAAGTTGACGGGTTCTTAACTAGAGGCAAAAATGTTTTATTGTTTTCCGATAGTACCGTTCTTACCATTAATATTATTTTTACATTTAAAAAAATAAAAGCACCTAAAAAAAACAATGCCATAACAGCCTGACAAAATAACGAGATCTCAACATTAGTATCATATACCTACACATTGCAAGTTCTTAGTTTCTTAACCCTTTATTCTAGGACGAATTGCATAAAGAATTAATATAATTATAAAGACTACAGGTTACAAATTGTAATTATTGGCAAGTATATATGCCAACTCTCCCAGATTATCGGGGAGTTTCCCGGATACGGAACTGATCTCCCGCTAGCTCTCTCGTACGAGTCTCCAAATCTCCCGGATCAGGAGCCTAGTGATGGGCTCCTGCTCGGATAAAATCGTCTTTTCAGCTTTTCTGTGCTTTTGTTTAAAATTTAGCACATTTTTATTGTCAAAACTCAGTAGACATAGTACGGTTTTGGGGGCATATTTGCACGTCTTTAGTCACTAGGGACCTAAAGATCGAGGTTGGTCATTTTACTGCAAACGACAACTTGCGGTTTGGGGTTAACGGTTTCACGTTACCCTTCTACCCATATTTGGGACTTACTTCTATTTTAGATGAGAAATTGTCTTCAAAATTACGTTTTTTGAAATAGAATTCGATAATCAATAAGCAAAAGAGTTCTAAAAGGTTGTATTTCTTCTCAAACATGGGATTGTGATGTTTTAGGGGGCAAAAAACCTCGCGGTAGATCACTTACCTCTGGAGCCTTGTCTAGCCCTACAAACGTAAACCACAAACCGCAAACCTGACGGCAAGGCCATACTCACGTGACTTTTTGACGTTTGCGCTTCGTGGGAAATGCGGAAAAACCTCAACTTTAAGGTTTCTACTGATAAAGATTATTTCATCATTACAATGATGAAAACGAGGTTTCATGGTAAGTACTTCATGTAAGACTTCACATATGTCTTAAGCCATTCCCATGTCAAAATTTGGAGGCTAAGTCGATTTATGTGGGAGGAGGGGAGAGAAAAAAGCGGGTGTACGTTGACATTCAGGAGGGTAGTGCAAAAGAGAAAGTCTCCAGAGGCTGGCATATCTGGTGAGGAGGTTGATCTAACAATTGCTTGTATGGTCCTCTGTATATTAAATAGACATGAACTACAAAAGGACCGCGAGCGAATATGCCGCAGAACGTAGGATCTATTAGAGGACCTGATCAGCCAAATTAGACGAGGAAGACATATTGAATTCTGCGAAGCTGATTGTACTACGGCCAGGCACTATTTGACTTTATAAGATAGCCAAGGTTAAAATTGGATTCTGATTGTTCGAGACCAGTTCATTAATATCTCCATAAAGCTCGCAGCACACGTCATGCGTGCATTATAGTGCAACATATGCACGCAAGCTACGTCACATTCACTGCCAAACACAGAAATGTATATTTTTTCCTTTCCGCCAATATGGCTGAAGATCTTCCGTGCTTTGACCTTGGCGTTCAGTTTCTAAATGTTGAGAAAGACGAAGAGAGTGATGGCCAGTTGCATAAAATTTCAACTTAAAATAACAATGCAAGGTTTGTACACCTGAGTGAACAAGACAGATATCAACTTTTGGCAGACGCAGGGGCGAAAGCCACAAAAAGTTCAAGACTCGACTTAGGCTGTAAAAGTTTTTAAAGGTATGAAAAAACGTAGAAAAAAACAAATAACTTAGTCACGAACGAGAGACATCACTGCGAACTGAAGGAGCGGGAGTTCGTTTAGGTAAGAAAAAAAAAATAGAGCAACTTGAAAAACTGAAACGCTAAAAGATTTTTAAAATACATTTAAAAAACATTTTAAAAAGTGAACGACATTTCGGCGCTACGTTACGCCATTATCAAGCTGAAAAGTGAAAAAGTATAAGGTGTAAAACGAATATATAAAATTTGAAACAGCACATAGAACATTTGCGGGTCCAATGGGTATAATTCCCAAGGTAAGAAACACAATGAAAGAAAAAATAAGAATAATAATGTACGAAAGTGTCACGTAAATAGTTTGGCGCGAATGGAGTCGGCTTGCGTGTTAGGACTGTTAAGAGAAGGCTTGATGTCCTTTATACGTATAACATCTCGTAGACTAGGCAATCAAACTTGTAGTTACATTTCCTCAGAACTTTGAAAAGATGATCAGTCTTTGTTCTGTTGTTGCCATGCTGTGTTTGAAGGTGTTTCCCGATGGCTGAATAACGGTGTTCACTTATCGTTGATGTAAGTGTCGGGCAGTGTACTCGACATAATTTGCATTGGTAAACGACTCGTCATAACTGAAAAAGCTTATTCACTAAAAGTTGGTAAATACAACAGATCAAAAGAGCTGAAAACTGAGGTACGTAAAGTATAAAACATTTTACCAAGTATTACAGGTAGAGAAAAATTTATTTAGCACCGCTGATTACTCCGCAAAATTGCACAAAAATGCGTAGAAATCTTAGTTTTGTTGTACAAGCGCTTATTTTAGCATCAGACCAAAACCAATTTCTGTTTTTTCGAGAAACTTTTTGAGAAATTACGGGAAACGTTTTGGACAATCTCGAGCAACTTGCCTTTGTGAGGGTGCCAATGGGGTTAACTGATATTCGGTCAAAAAAATTGTAGTTAACTGATGATTTGCCAAAACATTAGTAGTTAACTGAGAAATGAAAAATTAACAGTTAAGTGACAGTCTATCAATTATACTGAAAATGATCATTGATGTTAATGAAAGCAACAAAGTTTTACAAACAGACATGCATTGTTCTGACATTTTTCTGTCCCGCTGATGGCCCAATGGCACATTAAATGATATTGCTATATGCAAAGGCACCAGGGCAGTACCCGCACCGTAATTTTTCAGGAGTTATTATAACGCCAAAAATGGAGTAAAAATTTTAGGAACAGGATAACCCCTTTTTTGGGTTACTTCAACTCCTAATTTAACTCCTTGGGGTCATTTTAACTCCTGAAAAAGAGTTCTTTTTACTCCCAGTCTGGAGTTAAAATAACTCCGACAATGGGGTTATTTTTACTCCTTACATAGGTTGCTTTTACTCTTTTTGGAGTTAATTTAACTCTGAAAGTGGAGTAAAAATTTTAGGTTCAGGATAGCTCCTTTTTGGGGGTTATTTTAATCCCTCAATATCTGGGGTCATTTTTACTCCCGAAAAAGAGTTCTTTAAACTCCTTTTTGGAGTTAAAATAACTCCCCAAAAAATAACTCCACTGAAAGGAGTTAAATTAACCCCACTAGAGGAGTTATTATGACTCCTTGAAAATTACTGTGCGGCAAACAGAAAGCGTCATCCATAGGGCTGTTTGGAGAAAACTCAACCAATAATTCTAATATTAAAAAGATTTTTGTGTTCGGAAGAGAAAAACACTGTTTTTACGGACCCAAAAGATCGTCAAGTTAAACATTACTATACCCAAAGGAAAAAGCTGTGACTCTTAGCATTAGATCTTGCCAAAAACAAACTCTGATGGCTCAAAGAAATTAGCATCTTTAGTTTTCTAAGTACATGGAATTTGTTCTTACGAGAAAACATTTTTGTAACTGATATTGCAGTTTTAACTATTGAAAATATTAGGCTGGTGTTTAATCCGGTCTTTGTGAAATAGTGTCATTTCGTAAAAACCCTTAATTAGATATCATTAAGACTCTTTTGAAATACCGGAAAGGTACTATCGAGGGACGCAAAGGAGAATGTCGACCGTCGAGGTACAAAAAACTGATCCGGCAACTCAGGTGGAAAACCTACACGCGGTTCAGCTGGCGGTTTCTCACTTCAAGACAAAACATTTAGTGCTTTGAACTCTTGACCCAACACTCTGGAACCATATTGAGGGAACGCCTAAAAAATCTCAGTACGAATTCAAAGTGGGCTACACTCACAAAAACTCAAATACTTTCATGTCTTTCTGTCTCTCCCATCGGTGCAAACAGTGACAAAAGAAAATGAAGTTGTGATGAGGGAGGTAAAGCGGTATTTTTATCGTGCCAGCAGCGTTATGGGGTTATGTGATGCTATTTTCTATCGCATTAATTAAATTGCAAAAATAATGGCCCAGTTTATATTTGTTAATATTTAAGAGTATATTTTGGCATTTATACTGTTTTCTGTCGTCTGTGGCAACTGATTGCAGGACTGAAAATGGATTGAAACCGTAGGCCAACAACAAGATACAGGACATACAGCATCATAAGTGGGAGACTGATTCAAATTTTTTTTAATGAAAGTTACGAAAAAGGTGAGTTTGAAATAGCTTATGCCAGGATATGCATGACCAGGTCGGGAAGATCATTACAAGATCATGACTGGCCGGTGCGTCTGGATCTATGAGGCTGGTGTCATATTGTTGATCACACGACTTAATCTAATTTGTACATGCCTTACAGCAAAAATCGGTCAATAGGGGTGTTAACAGCTATGGCTAACACATTTTACTACTTCGGTTAGATAGTGATATTCTTTTATAGATTTTTAGTTACTTATTAATTGCACTAATGGCGGAGTTTATATGAATTCACATAAACTTGATTTTATAAACTTGATAAATTTGATTTTAGTAGGGCCTACCCCCAAACGTGATTGACGTGCTGAAGTAAAGAAAATTCGGGTTATGAGCCGTATAATATTCACTGCAGGAAAAAGAAAGTTAATCGCCACCCAAAATTATTAATTGGCCAAACAAATGGTAGTTAACTGACATTTGGCCGAAAAACTGTTAACCTCTAAAATTTGCATTTTTGATCATATTTGGGTGTAAGTAAGGCCCCATATTTGGGCAGTGACGTCATGACCTTGTATTTACAATTTGTGGCTCGAAATTGGGTGACCCGTGTGCAGCTGTTTGTTTTCTTTTCAAGAAGCCTTAACAGGTGAGCAAGCTTTAATGCGATTTCTAGT